CGCAACAACCCAGAAGACAGCCATCTTGGAAGAAATGCTTTATTATCTGAGGACAAAAGCTCTGTTCTTTTGTTACCGTTTATTGCAGGCGGGTCATATGGACTAAGAACTACAGGGTGATCGAAAAGCCACGCAATGGATTTTTTTTTATTTATTTAGTGTTCTGGCTGACGACAGGTCGATATGAACAGGATCCTTCCATCCTTTTCTCGGACTGGGACCTGTTCTTATACGTTCTTGGCAGATGATCCAGAAGTGTTTTGCCATTGCCTTCTTCTGTGTGTGTGAATGGAGTAATTGTTGGGATGCCATGGAGGAAAACTCCGTGTTGCCTAGACCACGGCCTTGCCCAACACAAGTTATAAATTCGGGCACCGCCGGGAATCGAACCCGAGACCCCAGGATTACAAGGCCAGCGTTCTAACCGCTAGACCACCGTGGCGCTAATTAATGGATAACAAAAATAAACTGGTAGCTGTAACTCAACACATTTCGATTGGATTAAGATAATAAAGGAGCCCACGTAGGTCACGTGATGTTAACTGCTCGCGCCAGACCGTCAGTTGTTTTTTAACAATCGTAAGTGCGAGGTTGTCTCTTTTTAAAAAGTGTAACGAGTGTTCATTGTTGACAACTTCCTGGCGTCTCGTACTTACTTAACGTGCCGGAATCAGTTTAGGGACATGTTGGAAGAGACACGAGGGAAAAAGCGAACGCGAGCTTCGCTGGACACTTCCATCACGAAGCATAACAACGTTTTTCTTTTCTGATTTCAATTTAATTTCTGTTTACAAATAGAATATGAGTCAGGAATTTGTAACGTGACATGTAGATTACGCTACATGACTTCGCTAGACGAGTCTAACAGAATTCACATTTTGTTCTAACAACAGAGACACTTAGTTTTTTTTTGTATTATTCTGTGTTAAATCTGTGTTGCCAAAGAATATTGAATAATTCTGGTTCTCTAAATCGCATAAATGGAGTTCTTAGAAAGAGAAATCGACGGTACTTCGATGACAAAAAAACAAACAAACAAAAAACAAAAAAAAACAAACAAACAAACAAAAAAACAAACAAACAAACAAACAAGATTCCAGAGCAAATCACACTTGGGCTGTAATTTCTGAAGCCACAGGCATTCCGAAACGTCCAATCTCTACAGAACAGACGGTTCAAAAACTCGAACAGAACGATAACTGGTTCCTGATTGAGTAGGAACTTACGCGCTTAACTATTTATTAATGTGGCTGTACCCGAGTTGTTGTGTTGTCCCGCTGCGCGGCGCCACACGAGTGACCGAGATGTTGATCAGGCCACGGGGGGGGGGAAGTGCAAAAATGTAACATAATTCAGAACATGTGAATTGTGAGGTTCTCACTGTTCTGGGTTACAGTAAAGTTGCTCCGAAACGTCGGGCAGAATCTACCAGACTATACGATGGAACATCACGGCGGGGAGAGCCATCTTTATTTACGTTCGTTCGCATACCGCCGTCATGTCCGGGACCAGCATGCCTCAGCGCACAGCCATTGTTTGCGGGCAGTTAATTAAGGACATGTCGCGCGCAGTTGTGCTTTGTTTATCGGCGCTGGATTCACTACGTGTTCCCCGAAAGCACAGTTAAACAGACGAAGGCCAAATTAAAAACAAGAAAACAGGGTGATTAATAAAATCAGGCGCTTAAAATCAAGTGTAAATCCACGGAGCAGAGCCCTTCGTGGGAAAGTCGTAATCGCTCAGCTAGTGAAGGGATCGGACGCCTTTTATG